CCGTGGCGAATCATGTTGACGATGGCGTACTCTGCGCTCGCAAGTGCGCAGTGCGAAAGCAGCAGGGCAGCAAGCCGCAGCATCCCGTCTGCCGGGTGCAGCAAGGGGTGTGGTGTCAGAGCTTCCAGGAAAGAGCCGCCAAAATTCAAAAAGAAAAAAGACGAAACGACTCGGGAGGCGACTGGTGCCAACAGGAAAAAACAAAGAAAAACGAAAAAGAAAAATCCGCTACTTCCGCGCGCCGGCACGGTGAGGGACAAGCAGCCGCTCCGCGGGCCACCCGAAGCCAGCCGATTATGCGATTCGTCGAGGCGCTGAGGAGAAACGGCGTCCACGGTCGCCGGCGCGACGCTTCGCCTGGCCGAAGAGCGGCCATCGCCGCCGTCTTCCGCACGCACCAGGGGCGGGAGCAGGTCCTCTTCATCCGGCGCGCCGTCAACCCTCGGGACCCGTGGAGTGGCAACGTCGCTCTGCCCGGCGGCCGGCAGGACGCGGCCGACGGCGGCGATGACGAGGCGACTGCGATTCGCGAGACGCTCGAGGAGACTGGCCTCGACCTGCGGACGCCGCACTGGGAACGGCTTGGCCGGCTTGTCGAGGACCGGATCGCCGGAGGCGGGCCAAAGTCGCTGGCGGTGGCCATGTACGGCTTCGCGGCCCGCTCCGAGGGCGGCGAGTCCCACGTCGCGCTGACGCTGCAGCCGACCGAAGTCGCCGCCGCCTGGTGGGTCGACACCGCCGTCATTCACTCGGCCAACCTAGAGTGGAGGGCCGTGGACACGAGCGCTCTCCTCCGCACGACCATCCCGCTCGCGGCCTCGCTGTTGCGCGCTCTCCGCCTGGACACCCTCTTCTTTGCAGCGATCCCGCTCCCGCCGCCGGCTGCGGAGACCGGCGCCGGCGCGGCCGGCGACCCTCACGCGGCGGCGGCGGCGCCGCTCCCGCCCTCGGACCCTCGCCGGTCGGAGTACGAGCTCTGGGGCCTGACGCTCGCCTTCTTCTCGGACCTGCTCCGCGCGAGCTCCGCGGGCCAGCCACTGGTCGGGGAGGGCGCGCCGCCCGCCTTTGCGAGAGCCTTCACCGCCTCGGCACAGAGCCCGGTGGCGCGGTCCGCGGCCTGGCTGCTCGAGAGCGTGCGCCTGCGCGGAGCGAGGAGAACGGCGCTGACCCTGGCCGGCGCCTCGACCATGCTCTTGGCCGCGGCCGTCAGCGTCGGCATCGCAGTGGCGCGATTGAAATGAAGAGAGTGCGGCTCAGGCGTGAGTGCCGCGAGCAACGGTCTGGCATCCCGCCCGCCTTCCTGGCACAGACGACAGAGTGGGCTGTGATCAGAGCCGCACGTTATGTACATTTCCACGATACTGATATTTCGGCAGCTCGATTCAATAAATAGACGCAAAATGTGTACATTTTTGAGAGAGAGGGAGAGGGAGAGGGGAGAAGCTAGTAGCTACACGAGCGTAGAGAAGAGTGTCACTTGAGTGTCTCAGCTGAGCGCGTCCGAGCGCGAGAGAGACGCGACCCAGACGCCAGCAGTAGAGCAGAGAGAGAGAGAGAGCACCACGACGCGGCTGGGGATCCGCTCGGGGTCCCTGGCGAGGCTGGCGTCTGCCAGCATGTCTGCGAGAGAGACACCAGACAGCCAGCCGTGCGCGCCGACGCTTCACCGCGCAGAGAGCCCTCCAACAGACGATAGTCATGGACATGGACGTACAATAAACAGTGATGTCAGCCTGCCGACTCGTTGCCTGTGCCTCGTCAGATTGGCAAGCTCAACGCCAAGCCTTGGCTCGAGGCGGCGTCGCAGCTTCCCGACGAGCAGACAATCGCCGCCTCCCGCCCCTTGGCCTTCGACAGCTCCTGCATTACCGCACAGCTCTTTGAAGCTGACCAGGTCCACGACCCTGGCGCCGGGTGGTGGGCGCCAGCTCGTTCGGCGCGCCCGCAATACACCACGATCCAGAGGAGGCCGAGGACGAGCAAGGCCAAGGCGGGCAGCAAGATCGTCATCCCAAAGGCGCCCGCTCCGGCCTCGAAGACGAGGCCGAGCAGGACCGGCACCGCCGTCTCTCCCGCGCTGCCTCCGAGGTTGAGGCTGAGCACGCGGAGCGGAGTGCTCTGCACGCTCGCCTCGGCGGGCAGCGAGTAGCTGCATGGGATCGCGGGCGCGTACCCGATCGATATGCCGATCGTGCCGATCCAGAGGACCGCAAGCGGCACCGGCGCGGCGGCCAGAAAGTACCAGACGACCCCGAGGGACGCCACCACGATCGTCAGGCTGGCGGCGAGCACCGGCCAGCCCGAGGAGAGCCTGCTCGACAGGCCGGCCCACGCGAGGCGGCCGCAGAGGATGCCGAGCCAGAAGCCCATGATGACGAGGGCCATCATCTCGCGCGGCACGCCCGCCGCGTGACCAAAAGATGGCAGCCACGTCCCGACGGCGTGCTCGGTCCCCGTCACAAAGAAGAGAACGAGCGACATGCCGGCGATGAACAGTCGGCTGTACGCAGGCTGCCCGGGCGTGGCGGCGGCGAGGTTTTCGGTGGCGACCGAGCGGCTGTTGTACACCGGCACAGTGGCCATTGTGGAGGCGGCGGAGCCTGAGCAGAGCACCGCGATTGCTGCAGCCAGCGCGAGCCCGGCAGAGGCGGCAAAGGAGAGGTAGGGCGTGCCGAAGGTTTTCAGGGAGAGCGCAACGCAGAGAGGAGCGAGCGTCGCCCCGACGGAAAACCCAGCGTTCAGCATCGCGATGGCGGTCCTCTGGGCGGTTCCGTCGGTGAGGGCCCACATTGTCAGAAGGGTCATGCCGCTGTCAGTGATGCCATACGAGACGCCCAAGAGGGCGAGGGCGGCCTGCACCACTCTTGCGGACGACCGCACCTGATAGAGGGCACAGTTGGCGGCGCACGCCATCGCCATGCTGATGGCCAGCAACTGATGCGGCGCAATCGTCGGCGGCTGGCCTCGCGCCTTGCAGCGCCGGACTAGTATCGCCACGCCAGTCCACGCAAACAGGCCGCACAGTTTGGCCAACCTGTTGGTCAGGATCAGGATGCTTTGTCCCTTGGCGTCGAGCCCTGTGTCATCGCCGATATCCTCCAGGCACGGTCCGATACCGCCCACCAGCATGCCGTTGACTGCGCCACAGAGGACATAGGATCGCAGGGCGCGGCGTTTCCTTGACTCGGCGGTGGCAGACTCGGCGGTGCGCGGAACGTCCCTTTCGCATGCCGCTCTGCTTGAGGCGCTCAGGCGGAGCGACGCTGGTCGCGCGGCGATCATGGCTCGGCAGCGCAACCAGGACGACTGCCGGAATCCTTGATCAGAGAAAGGCACAACACAAGGACGCACGAGCCCGCGCCCAATTTGGTGCAAGGAGCCCGAAAAAAAACAACGTCCGAATATTGAGCATACAGGGCACGCCGCGCGGGTCGGCGCTTTGCACACCGTCGTCCGTCGAGATAGGTGGTTAGACACGGCCCCAGGTGTGCTTGGGGCGGGTCTGCAACGGCCAACGCCGCTCTGTGGGAGAGTCTCCGCTCTCCACTTCGGGGTTGACAGTTTTTTCAATTTAACTGGCGCTATCTAGATACGGGTCTCACTCAAGGCACAAGCGAAGGCCTCACAGCTGCTGCACCAGCGCTCGCCATCCACATGCCAGAGTACGGCAGGGACGCGGGGCCCGTGGTGTTCGGGTGCGGCTGCCACTGCTCGAGCACCGCGTGTTCGCTTAGCCGGCTAGGCAGACGCATGTACCCGTGCGTGTATTCCAGGGTGCGCAAGGCCGCGGACGCGGAGCATCTGGCGAATGCAGCCGAGCAATCGAGGCTGCGGTCGGCAAAAGCGTTCATCATCACGCCGGTGCGCAGCCCGTGACGGTGCATGATGGCCTCGGCGCCAAGTACACGGCCGTAGTTGAGCCCGCCGGTGGGCGAAGGCCCGTACGTGTGCGTGTCGTACTCCACCCCTTCGAGGCCATAGTCGATCAGGTAGTGGTCGAGCAGGGGCGTCCCAGGCACCGGGTTGTGCCGCTTCGCAGCGTCCAGCAGCCTCGACGTTACATCCTCCAGCCGCGGGATCCATCCGTCGATCTTGCTGAAGACGGCCGGCTCGGTGTTCTTGTAGCTTTTGCCATCGGGCCCCTCGATGTCCCAGAAGCCGAGCGACTCGATGAACCCCAGCGACGCCTCCGCACCAAGGAAGCGACGCCAGCTTGCGAACACCTGAGCGACCACCTCGATGCGGTCCGCCATCGGGATGGGTGGCTCGCAGAGCGGGCCCGAACCCCCACGCACGTTCCAGACGTCGGCGTGGTCTGTTGACAGCGAGTCGATCCTTCCACCGAGCGAAAGCCAGCGGGCAACATCTCGCTGCTCGATGGTCGCGTAGGCGAGGGCGGTGGTGAGATTGCAGCGGCCCGCGCCCCACCTCACACCGCCGACCTCGATGCCAGTGCGCAGCCCTTGCTGCTGGATCACCCCGATCAGCCCAATCAGCTGAGCATCGGTGCTGATGCCTGTGTACAGCATGTCCAGGAAGATCTTGAAGACACCCGTGCGCTTGGCGAGATCAGGCCAGCTCATTGCTGGCTGCAAGACGTTGGGGTAGAAGTCAGGCCGCGCCCGCAGATCTCGACTGTGTCCAGAGCGCAGGCTGGTCGTGTGCTGAAAAGGGTTGGGCCCGTACCACACGTCGAGGCTCGGACGCGCTAATACTGCCACGAGCAGCATGGCGAGTAAACCAGCATGATGCCGGAGGGACGAACGACGGACGAACTTCCACACACCGAATTTCACAACAAAGCTCGCTCGCACAGCACGACGCACGGCAGTGCCGTGGCACCACACTGCTGGACTTCATTATTCTCCACGATCGTGCCTTCCCACCATCCTAGAGCCGCAGTGACCAGGAAGGCGGCTGGCGCGGTGGGGCTCGGGGGTGGGGCGCACCATACCTTCCCCTGCAAAAAGCCCGAACCCCGGACGGCAATCACATTGCAAATGGCCTTTGCCCACCACGGCTGTGAGCACATCGGCAAGCGAGTCACGCGCCGCTTTGAAGGCGTTAACGTCGGAGGCGTCGTGAGTGCGTGGGCCCCGGCCGACGGCCAAGAAGAGGCGCTCTACCGCGTGCGTCACGACGACGGTGATGAAGAGGACCTCGATCGGCAGGAGCTGGAGGACGCCTTGGCGCTGGCCGCCAATACTCCGGTGGACCTCAAGGGCCGATTCCTCGCCGTGCCAACCTCATTCTTCCAGGTCGAGGCGGGGTTCTACCTGGCGCGATGCAGCAGCGTCAGCGCCGGCGGCAAAATTTGGCTCAGGTACGGCTCGGACAACTACTCGCACTGGGTGCCGCACGCGATCGCGAGCAAGTGGCTCATCAGCGATAGCGAGGCGCGCCGAGGCGACTGGGTTGGCTCTGGCGGCGTCGGTTCCTTCGCAGCGGGTGCCCAGGCTGAGGAGGTGGGCGAGGCGCCGGTGGCGGAGGCGGAGGGCTTGCGCCTGCACCTGTCAAGCAGTAGCAGCACCGGGTACGCAGGCGTGTCGAAGACCACCCGCTATACCGGCCGCTTCCATGCGCGGCACAAGGTGGGCGGAAGGAGCCTCGGCTCCTTCGGCTCAGCGGTGGAGGCGGCGGTGGCGTACGCGCGGGCAGTGGGGGAGGCGGATGAGGAGGGCGAGGAGGGCGAGGAGAACGAGGGGGGCGAGGCGGGCGTGGCGGGCGAGAACGTCGCTTCTGCCGCCGCCCGCCGAGACTCCGCGCAGCGCAGCAGCGGGCGGCGCCGCTCGGTGCCCGCTCGCTTCGTGGCGGAGCCCTCTTTGCAGGGCGACGAGTCGCAGCTCGAGTTCGCCGAGAAGCTGCTGCTGCCGGCCGCGCAGGAGGCGGTGCCACAGCAGCATGCGGCGGCGGCGCCGCCAGAGGCTGCCATGAAGTTTGGAGTCGGAGATGCGGTGCTGGGCAAGTTTGGCCCCGACGACGAGGGCAAGACGGGCGGCGTGCTCGACAAGTGGTACCGCGCCGTCGTCCGCGCCGTCAACGCGCCTCTGATGCCGCAGACCGACCGCCCTGCCGCGAGCAGCGCCTCTTCACACCTCCGGCTCTGAACAGGCGGACGGCACGTATTCCCTCGAGTACGAAGACGGCGACAGCTGGGAGCAGGTGCCACGCGTGCACGTGAGGGCGCGGAAGCGGCCGCGCGACGACGAGGCGTCTTCGGCATCGATGGAGGCGGCAGAGCCGGCAGCAGCGCAGCGAGGCGGCGGGGAGAAGAAGCGCGGCCGCCCGTTGGGGAGCAAGAAGTCGAAGCTCGCCAAGAAGGGGGTGCCGAAGCGGGGCGCCAAACCGAGAGGCAGACCTCCGCACGGGTGCTCGTGGAGCGAGAAGCAGAGCGCGTACGTCAACGAAGAGCAGGCGGGCGTTCGGCGCGCCGCGGCGGCGGAGTCGGAGGAGGAGGCACAGGCGGAGGAAGGGGAGGGCCCCGGCACGCCTCCCGGCACGCCGCCGCCGGAGGCAGCGGCGGCGGCGGCGGCGGCGGAGGAGGAGGAGGAGGAAGAGGAGGGCGAGGAGGAGGAGGAGCAGGAGGAGGAGGAGGAGGAGGAGGAGGAGGGTGCGGACGACGGCGACGAGGAGGTGGACGGGGAGGAGGCGGACGACGAGGAGGTGGACGAGGAGGAGGGGGAGGAGGAGGGGAAGGAGTCCGCCTCCCGTCGCAGCTCGCGCGTGCCCGTCCGCATGCCGACCGGCGAGACGTACGTTGGCGGTGGCTTGGCACCCACCACCGCGCCGCGCGCCAAACCGACCGCCAAGGCTCCCGCCAAGGCTCCCGCCAAGGCTCCCGCCACGCCACCCGCCGCCGTCGAGGCGCTGCAGCAGCCGGCGGCGGAGGCGGAGGGGCTGCGGCTGCACCTCTCGAGCAGCAACAGCACCGGCTACAAGGGCGTGCGCGAGCCGCGTACTGGCCGCTTCGAGGCGCAGCGCAAGGTGGGCAGGCGGGCGGCCTCGCTCGGCACCTTCGACACGGCGGTCGAGGCGGCGGTGGCCTACGCGCGGGCGGTGGGGCAGGCGGAGCCGGAGGGCGAGGAGGAGGGGGAGGGCGAGGAGGAGGGGGGGGAGGAGGAGGAGGCTCGGCCGGGCGGGCCGCTCACCGCTGCCGACGCATTCGAGGGCGCTGCGGTGGCGGTTTACTTCTCGGACGTGTCTCGCTGGTGCCGCTGCCGCCGAGGGCCGAGAGGGGGGAGCCCCGCCCCTCCCTGACCCTCCCCTCCCCTTTTCTTGTGCAGGTACCGCGGCGAGGTGACGTCCGTCAACAACGACGGCACCTTTGGCGTGGGGCGTACGGGCTGTGAAGAGACGCGGTTCACACCTGCAGCTGTGAACAGGCACCTTTGGCGTGGCGTACGAGGACGGCGAGGAGGAGGAGGCGGTGCCGCTGGAGGACCTCTTCCACGAGCTGCAGGCGAGATCCGCCGAGATTAGTCGAGATTCGCCGAGATCCGGCGCGGAGATGCGCTTCCCTTCACACGAGGCGCCGGCGGGCGGCGGGTCGAGCCTGCAAGCGCGCCTCTCTGGCGCCTCTTCCCCGACCGCTTCTCGGAGCCCGTCCTCTAGGCGGGACCACCGCCTGCCTCGTCCCCGCCCCCGGCTGCTCCACCACCAGCGGCGCGCCCGCCCCTCGGCATGCCGGCCGTCGAGCGGGCGCTCGAGGGCGTCGGGCTGGAGCGCTACGCGGCGGCGTTCGACGAGCAGGGGTGCAACCTGCGGCGCTAGACTTGCCCGAGATCACCCGAGCTCGCCAGAGATCACCCCGAGATCACCGTAGATCACCAGAGATCACCCGAGATCACCCCGAGACGCAGGTTCGACGACCTCGGCTTCCTGCTCCAGATGAACGCGGCGGAGCGGGCGGCGGTGGCGGAGGGCGTGGGGATGAAGCCTGGCCACGCGGGCAAGTTTGTCAAGCACGGTTTCGAGGCGCCGGTGGCTTAGAGGCTGTCGAGCCGGCGCGAGGCTGAGCGTCGAGAGCGAACGCGCGCCCTGGTTGATTGCGTTTACGTGTACGTGTGCATGCCGTCTGTCTTGGTGAGGCGCCCGACTTGCGATGTGGCTAGTTCCAATTCACTCTGTGACACGCTAATCTTGAAAACGCGTCCAACGGAGCTCCGTGTTGCTCCCAGCGGAATCCCCCGCGCTTCCTGCGGCCATGGCCGATGATACTAGTATGAGAGGTCATCTGGCTACCGCGAGCGCGACTCAACTCGCCGACGTGGTCCGATGATTGTGCCTCAAAGTCAGCCTCCGGAGGCTCTCGTGGGGTCGAGCCGGCGGTAGCCGTGACATGTGGTTCCACCACCCCTCGCAGGCTTTGCCTCTGACCGCCACCGTTCCCAGGCTGCCTAATGGGATGAAAAGGAAGGCTGGGCGAGCGTATAGAAGCGTGCTCGACCTCGTCGTGGCAACCTGCACGGCAGCGCTGGTAGGCGCGATGAGCGTCGTGCCACCTGACCCGAGACGGGTCGCAGGCGTCGTACCGAGCGCGTCGAGACCGTGTCCTGATGTGATCTGCACGGGTGAGTCACGTCGGCGTCAAAGGAGCGACGTGCGACCTGTCAGAGCTTGATCTCCGGTCTCAGCGGCGTCGAGTCGTCCCCGGCGCGCGACAAAGGTACATACCCAGGAC